TTCAAAAATTGTGTTGGGAAAATTAGACAGATAAATGCAGAAAAATTAAACTAAACAATCTTCTTACACTATATACAAGAATAAACTCAAAATGGATTAAATAATTAAATCTTAGATTTGAAACCATAAATATCCTAAAAGAAAACATAGACAGTAAAATCTCAGACATTTCTCACAGTTATATTTTTTCTGATATATCTCAGGCAAGGAAAACCAAACACAAACAAACGGGAAAACATAAAAAAAAATTTTCCACAGCAAACTGAGAAAACAACCCACTGAATGGGAGAACATATTTACCAGTGATACATATAATCATGTATTGATACCCAAAATGTATAAAGAATGTACAAAACTCAACACTGAATAAAGCAAACAATGCAATTTTTAAAAGTGGGCAAAGGACCTGAATAGAAACTTCTCCAAAGAGTACATACAGATGGTCAAAAGATCCTCAATGACATTCATCATCACAGAAATGCAAAATTCAAACTGCAATGAAATATGACTTCTACATCTGACAGAATGGCTGTCATCAATAGATCAACAAACAGAGTTAGGATGATCCAAGATGGTGGAGGAGTAAGTGGAAGTTACACTAAACCTCCTCCCAGGACCAATCTGGAATTACAACCTAATTGTGGAGAAATCACCTAGAACAAACAACTGAACAATAGTGAGAGAGAAGCCTTATAACCACATAAAGATAGATTAATCAGCTTCAGCACAACATGACTGGTATGGAGTGCGATGGAGATGGGGGAGGGCTGGTGGGGCGCCCATAAGCAACAGCTGAAATGCCAGAGGGATAGTAAGTGGCCAGTTGGATCCCCCTGAGAAGTGTGGGGTCTAAACCCTAAGGTGGGACCCCCAGCCTAGAGCACCAGAGCATGAAAACTACAGAGATAACATCCACCTGTGAAGAACGGCAGGGTTGCTCTCTGCCAGAGACTGACGTCTTGAGATGCAAAGGGCCATTTAAATGGCCAATGCATAAATTTTCATTTGTAGCCACTTACCCTGGGCTCCAATAAAGGGGTGGGGGAGAGTGGACTAGAGACACTTGAGGACATACTGAGGATGGAGGCTATGGGGAGAGAACTGAGATAGCAGCTGTTGGGATCCACGCTGAGTCATCGCCCATATAGCAGCAGCCATCTTGCTGAGGCAGACCATACCCCTCTGAGTGGCAGCAGCCTGAGGGGAAATAACAGCCCAACCCCAGGGGGATTCTGCCCCACCCTGTGGCACTTAAGCCTGACTGCTGAATGCAGAGTGACTACATTAACAGCTGAAGGAGTCAACCACAGACAGAAGATCCCTGGAAGTCTCGAACAGGCTGCCTAAGGTTGGAAGGAGTCACTATCTGACATCACAGGTGGATCCAGAAAAAAAAAAAAAAAAACAATAGTAAATACTACACGCTTCTAAGATGTAATCCACCATTGTCTTCTCCATGATTTGCGATACTCTCCTTCCCATATAGCTTTTTGACATTCATTACTTGTCCTTCAAGTTTGTGCATAATAAGTCACTATTTTTTAGACTATAGTTTATTTCAATCATGATACTTTGCCCATCCCTTCTCTTTTATTTTTATCTTCTTTTCTCTTACTATTTTCATCTGAAATTTTGTTTTCTCCCTTGCTACAACTAGTTTCCATTTCACACATACTATTTCTCCCCCATCCACACTTTCAAAAACAATTTTCTTGTCCATGGTCATCTCACATTCTTTTTATTTATTCTTTATTTTTTCTGTTCTTCAAATACATTTGTCTCCATTTTCACCGTACCACTTTCCCCCGCCCCACCCACCCTGACCTCACACCCTCAATTCTTCCCCACTGCGGCCTTGTCCATGGGGCCTTTCTACACATTCCTTGACTGGACTCTCCTCTTCCATTCCCCCTTACCCCACTCCCTCCTTCCCTCACGTTACTGTTGCATTTGTTTTTTCTTTCAATACTGCTGGTTATATTTTTCTACCTTGTTTCTATTGTTCCTTAGGGTCCACTTATAGGTGAGATCATATGGTATTTGTCTTCCACTATCTGCCTACCTCAAGTTCCATCAATGCTGTTGTGAAGGATAGTTGCTCTTTCTTTCTTTCTGCTGCATACTATTTCATCGTGTAAATGTACTGCAGTTTTTTGTTCCACTCATTTACTGACAGGCACTTAGGTTGCTTCCAGCACCTAGCTATTGTAAATCGTGATGCTATGAACATTGGAGTGCTTCTGCACTTCTGAATTGATGTTCTAGGATTCTTAGGGTATAATCCCAGCAGCAGAATCACTGGGTCAAAAGGCAGTTACATTTTTAGCTTTTTGAGGAAATTCCAAATTGTTTTCCACAGTGGCTGTACCAGTCTGTGTCCCCACCAACAGTGTACTAGGGTACCTTTTCTCCAAAACCTCACCAGCACCCGTTGTTTGTTGATTTGTATATGATGGCAATTCTGACAAGTGTGAACTGGTATTTCATAGTGGTTTTAATTTGCATTTCTCTGATGGCAAGTGATGCTGAGCATCTTTTCAAATGTTTCCAGGCCCTCTGTATGTCCTCCTTGGAGAAGTGTGTGTTCAGGTCCTTTGCTCATTATTTGATTGGATTGTTCATCTTCCTGGAATGGAGTCGTGTAAGTTCTTTATATATTTTGGAGCCCAAACCCTTTTCCGAGGTATCATTGGCAAATATATTTCCCCATACAGTTGGTTCCCTTTTCATTTTGCTGACGTTTTCTTTAGACATGCAGAAGCTTCTTATTTTGATGAAGTCACATTTGTTTATTCTTTCTATTATATCCCTTCCTCTAGGGGACTTATTGGTGAAAATATTGCTGCAAGGAATATGTGACAGTTTCCTCCTATGTTCTCTTCTAGGACTTTCAGGGTGTGACGACTTATATTTAAGTGTTTTATCCATTCTGAGTTTACTTTGGTGTATGGTGTAAGTTGGTGGTCGAATTTCATTTTTTTAAATGTAGCTATCCAGCTCTCCCAACACCATTTGTTGAAGAGGCTGTTTTTACTCCATTTTATTCTTCGGCTCCCTTTGTCAAATATTAATTGACTATAGACACATGGGTTTATTGCTGGTCTCTCTATTCTGTTCCATTGATCTATGTGTCTGTTCTTATGCCAGAACCAGACTGCTTTGATTTAGTGGCTTTGCAATATAGTTTAACATCAGGTACTGTGATCCTCACTATTTTGTTCTTCTTTCTCAAAATTGCTGTGGCTATTCAGGGTCATTAATGTTTCCATATAAATTTTTTAGATGTTTGTTCTATATCTGTGAAATACATCATTGGTACTTTAACAGGAATTGCATTGAATCTATAAATTGCTTTGGATAGTATGGACATTTTGATGATGTTAATTCTTCAAATTCAGGAACACAGTATATGCTTCCATTTATTTCTGTCTTCCTTAATTTCTCGTTTCAGTGTTGTGTAGTTTTCTGAGTACAGGCCATCTACCTCCTTGGTTAAGTTAATTCCTAGGTCCTTTATTTTTATTGATGCTATAGTAGCAAACTGGATTTTTTTCCTGATTTGTGTTTCTGAAATTCCTTGTCAGTGTACAAAAAATGCCTTCAATTTCTGAATATTGACTTTATTTCCTTCTGTTTTGCCAAATTCACTTATTAGATTGAGTAATATTTTTATGGAATGTATGGGGTTTTCTATGTGCACAATCATGTCATCTGCAAACAATGAAAGTCTGATTTCTGTGACTAGGACTTCCAATACTATACTGAATAGAAGTGATGAAAGTGGACAACCTTGTCTTATTCCTGGTCCTAGTGGAAAAGCTTTGAGTTGTTGCAAACTGAGTATGATGTTGGCTGTAGGTTTCTCATATTATGGCCTTTATTATGTGGAGGTATGCTCCCTCTGGCCCACTTTGCTAAGTGTTTTTATCGTAAATGGATGATGTACCTTATCAAATGCTTTTCCCCCATATATTGATATGATTATGTGATTTTGTCATTTTTTTTATGTGTCAGGCTAGCAGCAGACTTCTCAACAGAAACACTACCAGCCAGAAAGGAATGGTGAGAAATACTCCAAGTAATAAAAAGCAAAGGCCTGCAACCAAGACTGCTCTATCCAGCAAGGCTCTCAATTAAAATGCAAGGTGAAATAAGGAGTTTCAGAGACAAAAGAAGGCTAAAAGAATACACCTCCACCAAAGTAGCACTGCAAGATATGCTAAAGGGATGCTTTAAGATAAAGAAAAAAGTGCCTCTTCATTCTTTTTGAGTCGTTTTTCATTTTCTAGCTCTTTCTGGGAGTTTTCCTAACTTCTCCTCCAGCTCACTAATTCAACCCTCTTCTTCACTGAGCCTGGTTTTGATTCCTCCTACTGCGTTCTTCAATTCTGAACTTGTATTCTTCATTTCCTCTTACTCTTTTTTTCCCACTGTTCAAGGTTTATTTGGTGTTTTAGTTGGTATGACACTTGGATAGTTGGATGCGTTATTTATATGTAGCCAACTATATAAATAAAAAAATTATTTATATAATCTTTTTACATTATATGGCAATGTATACTATTTGATTCATAGAGTACACAAAGTAAGATCCTTAAGAACAGTTATGCAGAAGACATACAACAGTGGATTTATATATTGGATCCCAGGATGTGATTGGACAGAAAGAAGTTGGACTAGGCACACTGGGTAAAGGAACCACAAGTTATATAACACATAGTGAACACAAATCTAGTTTGAAGGGCAACTGTAGTATGTGCAACATTGGCAGGTGGTGCCTTTGAGGAGGTGAAACTGTTTCACACTAACCAGTTTAGGATCACACAAGGTAAGTAGCATCCAGCATCAGGATAGAGATGCAGGGTTTTATGAACCATTACTATTTCTGTCTTTAGGAAATTGATGTTTTTAGTGATAGATCAGATAAAAGAGACAATATGCACCACCTCCAACTAAAATCCTCTTGTAGCCTAGATAATGAAGTGGTACATTAGGAGACTTTAAAACTGCAGCTCCTTCTGGATCCCCCAAAGTGCATCTGCACTCTTCTTCAAACGGGCCTCTTCCTCAGGTGTCAGAGTCACCTTCACAACATCTGAGATTCCATTCTGTCCTAAGATGCAAGGAACACTAAGGAAGACATCTTCTTTTATTCCACAGAGACCCTTGATCATGGTGGAAATTGGATGCACCCAGCCTAAGATTCTTCATCATACTTTCTGCTAAATCTGCCACAGATAGTCCAATGGCCTGGGATGTGTAGCCTTTCAGTTTGATCACCTCGTAAGAACGGTCAACCACCTGTTTGTGAACTTCTTTCCACTGTTCCTTATCTGCATCAGTGCCCAAATCAGGGTGCAGAGTCTTTAGGGAGACACTGGCAACATTCACCCCACTCCACACAGGCACACTCGAGTCTCCACGCTCCCCAAAGACCCAGCCATGATAGCTTAATGGGTGAACTCCCAGCCTTTCCCCCATTAGGTAACAAAACCAGGTTGAATCTAGGTTGCAACCACTTCCAATAACATGGTTTTTGGGAAAGCCACTTATCTTCTGAGCCACGTAGATCAAGACATCCACTGGACTGGGAACAATAAGCAATTTGCAGTTGAGACTGTATTTTACAACATTAGGAATGATGAATTTAAAGATGTTCATGTTATGCTGGACCAAATTAAAATGGCTTTCTCCCTCTTGTTGACATGTCCCAGCTGTGCCAATAACCAGCTTGGAGTTTGCCGTCACATTATAGTCTTTCCTAGAGACAATTTTTGGTGTTCTAAGGAAAAGGCTGCCATGTTGCAAATCCCTCATCTCTCCCTTTAATTTGTCTTCCATGACATCGACAAAAGCGAGTTCATCTGCCAAGTCCTTCATTAAGATACTGATAGCACAGGCCATGCCAACAGCATCAAACCCTATTACTGAAATCTTATTCTGGGAGATTTGTTCTTCCTTTAGGAGATTCACAATCAGCTGATTCTTGAGAGCTGCCATATTGGACTTAGAACCAAAAGGAATCAGGTGTGCATGGTGGAAGGGGCCTCAGTGGTGCATGGCACTGGATCTGGACTTGGTGGCAGCAGCTCCAGTCCTCTTACTCTTACTGATAATTCCCAAGTCCTTTTTCATGCTAATATGGTTTGCAGTAAGTTCCTTGTAGTTTCCCTGTAGTTTTTAGTAATTCTCTCTGAGCTCATTGAGATTCCTTAGAACCATTATTTTGAAATCAATTTCTGATAGTTTCTTTATCTCTATTTCCTTTACTTCTTTCTGGGGATTCCTCCTTTCCCTTCAGTTGGGGACTGTTTCTTTGTTTTGCAATTATTGGTGAGACTCTTCTTTTTTTGCTTCTGCTTCTTAAATTGATCTGTCTTGAGTTCCTGACTTTGTGGTATGAACTTCTATGGTAGGAGACCTGTGAGATTCAGTGGTGTCGTCTCCTTGATCTCCTGAACCTGCTGCTCTTTGGACGCTTTTTGTGCCATTTATGTTGGCTCTCTGGAAGCAATTCAGTTTTGATTGTTGTTTGATCATTCTTTGATGGGTCCTACCCTCCAGCTGGTTGACTGAGGGTCACTTAGTCCACCGTGTCTTGTGTATTATTGTGCACGTATTGCCAGAACAAAACCACAAAGCCCAGGAAACAACCCACATCCATAAAAATAGCCCTCCCCTGTAATCCCACTATCAACAGCAAATGAACCAGTATTAATAAGGCTGCAAAACAATTAAGGCTGTTATAAGAAAAGAGAGAAATAAACTATTAGTATAAAATCTAATGACTTATGGGCACAAACCTGATGGATCCAAAAGGACATTAAAAAGCTATGTAGTAAACAAAATATTGCAAATCATGGAGAAGACCACAAGTGGATTTTGTCTCAGAAGTCTCTAGTATTTACTGCTGTTTTTTCTTTCTGGATCTGCCTCTGATGATGTCAGATGTTGACTCTGTGTGACCATAGGCAGACTATTCAAAACTTCCAGGGATCTACTGTCTATGGCTGTCTCCTTCAGCTGTTAATCTAGCCACTCTGCACTTAGCAGTCAGGCTTAGGCACCACAGGGTGGAGCAGAGTCCCTCCTGGGGGTGGTGTTATTGTGTCCTCTCATGCTGCTGCTGCTCAGGGGAATGGTCTGCTTGAGCCAGATGGCTGCTGCTATATGGGGGAGGAGTCAGCATCGGAATCCCACCAGCTACTGTCTCTATTCACTCCCCAAAGCCTCAGTTTCCAGTCTCTTCAAGTGTCTCCTGACCACTCTGCACCTCCTTTAGCCAGGGATTTACTATCTGTGTCTGCACTCTGTACTCAGCAGTGAGGCTTAAGCACCACAGGGCCAGGGCAGAGTCCTCGAGGGGGTGGGGCTATTGTTTCCTCTCATGCTGCTTCTGCTCAGGGGAGTTGTCTGCCTGAGCAAGAAGGCTGCTGCTGTATGTGGGATGATTCAGCACCAGGATCCCACCTGCCATTTCCTCAGTTCTCTCCCCAAAGCCTCCTTCCCCAGTCTCTCCTCGGGTGGTTCCAGTCCACTCTGCCCCCGGAGCCTAGGGTAAGTGGCTGCAAATATTTATGTGTTGGCCCTTTAAATGGCTCTTTGCATCTCCAGCCACCCATCTCTGGCAGAGAGCAACCCTGCCGCTCTTTGCTACTGACTGTTATCTGTGTATTTTTGGGTTCCAGTGCTAGAGGCTGGAGATCGCAGTTTAAACCATGTTTAGACCCCACTTTTCTAATGGTGATCCAACTGGTCATTTAGCTTAACCTCTGTCGTTGCTGCCCATGCGTGCCTAGCCCACCTTCTTGAATCTCTACCATACTTCTTCCCAGTCAGGTTGTGCTAAAGCTGATTATTCTATCTGTCCAAGGTCAAAAGGCTCCTCTCTCACTACTGTTCAGTTGTTTGCCCCAGGTGATTTCTTCACAATTTAGTTGTAATTCTAGATTGGTCCTGGGAGGAGGTTAATGTGACTTCCATTCACTCCTACACTATCTTGCCTCCTCTCATCTCACATTCTTTTAACCACTCAGAAAATACCCATGTTCTCTGTCCACCTTTAGCACTCTTTGCTTGTTGGTTGTGAGTATGGTAGTTGTTGTTCCATGTTTTTCAATTTTATCTCTAGATCTTCACTAATTTTATATTTCAAATCTCAAATTTTACCGTTCCTCTCTCCTACACTTTTTATCTCAAATTTCTGTTTTGTCCAGTCTTAGCCTGTTTTTCCTCTTTCATCCTACACTTCCTCTTCCTTTTTTTCCTCCTTTTTCCTTTCATCTCAAATTTTAACTTTGCCCTGTCTTAGCCTGGTTCTCTTTCTTCACTTTTAGTATTCCATCTCTGTCATCTCCAAATCACTTCCCTTTCCTCTAGACATCTCTTAAGCTTTTCCTTCTTTGTTTTTTCCCTCTCATTCCCATCCCACCTATAACTTTAGCTCAGTTGTTGTTGAATGTGCTGTGGTGGATCTTTCTCTAAAATTGGTTTCTATTTATTTATTATTTACTTTCTTTTTCTTCTCTCTCATTTTATTTTAATTTCTCTTTAAACAAAATACTATACACTTCCCTTCTCTAACTCCATTATGCCTTCTTGATTCCCTTTTGTAATTATGATGTAAATTTTACCATCTCTCTTTGCATTGCCCTGATTCCCTACTCTTATTAGTGCTCCTCCCTCTTCCCTCTCAAAATCACTCTTCTTTTAGTAGGTAGTCTCATATTCACTTTCCTTTCTTATAATAGTCTTAATCTCTTTATACCCTTATTAACACTGGTTCACTTGCTGTTGATAGTGGGACTGCAGGTGGGAGTTCTTTTTGCAAGGATTGGGTTTGTTCCTGGGCTGTGTGGTTTCTTCCAGCATAACAGGATACAAAACATTGTGGGTGGAGTGGCCCTCAGTCAACCAGCTGGATGGATCAAACAATGACCCAACAATAATCAAAACCCAATTACATCCAGAGGGCCAACATAAAAGGCATAAGGACATCCCAGGAGCATCAAGTTCAGGAGATCAAGGAGACTGCACCACTGAATCTCACAGGTCTCCTACCATAGAAGTTCACACTAGAAAGACAGGGAGTAAACAGATCAATTTAAGAATCAGAAGCAAACAAGAAGAGTCTCAGAAATAATGGGAATACAAAGATATAACTGCCAATAGAAAGGAAAGAAAGAGTCCTCAGAAAAAAGTGCTAAATGAAAAAGAGGAAAGTAAACTATCAGATACTGAGTTCAAAACAATTATGAGGAATCTCAATGAGCTGAGTGAGAATTACAAAAAACTATAAGGAAGCTGCAAGGAACATACTGCAAAATAAATCAGCATGAAAAAGGATACAGAACTTGTCAACAAGAGTCAGGAGGAAACAAAGAATACAATTTCTGAAATGAAGAACACAATAGAAAGAATCAAAAGCAGGGCAGATGAAGCAGACGATCAAATCAGTGAACTGGAGGACAAGGTAGAAAAAAATTCCCAGAAAGAGCCAGAAAAGGAAAAAAGACACAAAACAAATGAAGAGGTGTTAATGGAACTCCAGAGCAACATGAAACGTAATAATATGTTTATAACAGGGATACCAGAAGAATAAGAGGAGCAAGCGATAGAAAAAGTATTTAAAGGCAATGACAGAAAACTTCCCTAACTTGAAAAGGGAAAAAGTCACACAAGTCCAGAAAGCACAGAGGGTCCAAATCAAGAGGTACCCAAAAAGGCCCACTGCAAACACACCATAATTAAAGTCTCAAAATTCAAAGACAAAGAGAGAATCTTAAAGGCGGCAAGGGAGAAACAAGAAGTAACATAAAGGGAGCCCAGTACAGCTAGCAGCTGACTACTCAAACAGACACACTACAGGCCAGAAGAGAATAGCAAGAAATATTCCATGTAATGAAAACCAAAAGCCTGCAAGAAAGACTACTCTACCAGCAAGGCGGTCATTTAAAATGGAAGGCAAAATAAGGAATTTCCCAGACAAAAGAAGGCTAAAAGAATACATCTCCACCAAACCAGCAGTGCAAGATCTGTTAAAGGGACTGCTTAAGAAGATGAAAAAAAAAGTGTGAGAGAAAGGGGAACACGGTAAAAAGGGGGAAAATGGCAATGAGTAAGTACCTAATAATAATAACCTTAAGTGTACTTGATTGTATGCCCCAATAAAAGTCATAGGGAAGCTGCATGGATAAGAAAACATGACCTGCACATATTCTGGCTACAAGAGACCCACCTCAGAAAAAAGGACCTACACAGACTGAAATTTAAGGGATGGAAAAAAATACTGCAAGCAAATGGACAGAAAAAAAAAAAAAGCTGGGTAGCAATATTTATATCTGGCAAAATAGATTTCAAAACAAAGCCCATTAAAAGAGATACAGAGAGGGCCCTTCATAATAGTCAAGGAAAGAATCCATCAAGAAGACATAAATATTGTAAACATATACAAACCCAAAATAGGAGAGCCCAAATATGTAAGGAAAATTTTGGAGTACTTCAAGAAAGATATAGACAGCAACACACTTACAGTAGGGGATTTTAACACCCCACTACCAACAATGAATAGATCTTCGAAATTAAATATCAAGAAGGATATTGTGGCAGTGAATGTCGCACTAGATCAAACGAACTTAACGGATATATCCAGAACCCTTCATACCAAAGACACAAAAACACATTCTTTTCAACTGCACATGAAACATTTTCAAAGATAGACAACATTACAGGACACAAAACAAGACTCAACAACTTCAAGATAATTGAAATCATATCAAGCAGTTTCTTGAACCACAAGGGCTTGAAACTAGAAATTAATCTCAGGGAAAACACTAAAAAACATTCAAATTTGTGGAGAGTGAATAGCGTGCTATTAAACAATGAATTGTTTAATAATGAGATCAAGGAAAAAATCAAAAAGTTTCTGTAAACAAATGAAAATGAACACACAACAGTCCAAAACCTATGGAATACATAAAGGCAGTCCTGAGAGGGAAGTTCATAGCTATACAGGCACA